TGTGACTTGTATCAACAAATAAGTCTGAACAGTGTTAAAGGTTGTTCATCTAAAAAATAGACCTCTAAGAGTTTGAAGATTTTTTTGTTTTAATAAGTTCATCTTAAAACATCTTTCTCAAGTAAAATAAAGTTTCCTCTGTGAGGTCAGACAGGCCCATCGGTGCTGTTTTGAAACAGAAATAAACAAATGAATCATATTTGTCCACCCAAATACTTAAATATCACAAAAACAGGAAGGACAAAAACACCGTCAAGGTAAAGTAAGACATTTTATTTTTAAATAAGCGGCCGTTTGTGATTAATCATGAGTTAACTATGGACATGATTTATATCATTATTAAATAGCCCATGTGGCCTATAGGCTATGTAACTGAGATTTAATATGAAAAATTAGACAAACCTATTTTCAAACTAGGTATTTGCTCTATGTTGATATATATTTCATAAACATTTACGGGCCAAGGGGAACATCAGCTGCTGATGGTATAATTTGAAGAAAAAAGTCCATTATGCTAACCTCCTCCCTTCATATTCAGAATTTTCTAGTTGTGTATAAAATGTGTGTATTGTGCCTCTCTAGTCCTTAATAAAGGTTAAATAGTTTTGAATTTAGTCATATCACATGCCAGTGATTTATAATACAAACCTATAAATAATCTATTGCAGTTTTTTTTACCATGGTTTAAAACTTTAATCTTATTATAGAATGAATATGACAAATTATGTTTTTGTGTTTGAATGCAGGCTCAATGAACAAGTACATTCAAGGAGGAGCTCACGCCAAAAGTTCAGATCAGCCACCCACCAGCAGTTCAAGAGCTCAAGATCAGTTGTCAGCCATCACGTCTGAACCTTCTACAACATCACCCAGCCCTGACCAGGTACTGGTAAAGTACACCTACAGACCGAGCACAGCCCACAGCCAGCACTTCTGAAGGCAGAGTGAGTCCTGGATCTGAAAATTACATTGGAGAAACACGTGTGCCACAACCGGTGCTTGTGTTGTGTGGATCTGTTACATAGTTCTAAATAATAACAATATGAAGTTCCTGTGTTGAGTATGTTATATTATGTAAATATCAGTCCTACTTTTTGTAAATAACGAGCAGTTTGTGCATACAATAGAATTAAAGATAATTTAAGGCGAAGCGCTTGCACATACTGTGTTATTGTGTTGTTTTTTCTGTGGTGGGGGTGTGTGGGGGGTGGGGGGGGCACCACGAAGCCTTTGTGCTTAGGGCACCAAAATAGCTAGCAACGGCCCTGCAGATGGGAATGGCCCATTAGAGGAAAAGATGAAGAATGAGTTGATGAACTTGATTCAAGCATACCCTAGTTTGTTTTCTGATGTGCCTTCTTGATAGCTCATGATGTGGTTATACATACAGCCTATTAAGTCCAAGCCTATTAAGAAGCATCCTTATCGAGCCGATGCTAACAAGCGTGACCTTTTGAAACAAGAAATCAACTATTTAGTGGAACATGCTTTAGCTTTTCCCAGCTAGAGCCGTTGAAGTTTACCCTGTGTTGCTGGTGAGAAGCCAGATGGTACTCCTCATTTTATAACAAATTATAAAAAGTAAATGCAGATACAGTGCCTGATTCTTACCCTCTGCCACGAGTTGATGGTTGTGTTGACAGTAAATAGGAGATGTCTTTAATCACAAAAATTTACTTATTGAAAGGAAGGTACCAGGTACCAATGACGTCCACTGCATCAGAAATATTTGCTTTGGTTACACCTGATACATGTCTTCAGTATACTGTAATGCCTTTCGGAATGAGAAATGCTCCAGCCACATTCCAGAGATGAATGACTGTGACTGGGTCTTTACCCCACTGCAGCACTCATCTCGATGACATTGTGATCCATACTTCTACCTGGCATGAACAGATTAACACCTTGCATGATCTTTTTCAGCAGATCTCTGACGCATCAACCTGGCCAAGAGTGAGTTTGTGAAAGCCACTGTCTCATATCTTCGAATGGGGGTTGGGCATAGTTGTGTTCACGTGTTGCAGGATAAGGTACAGGCAATATCTGTTTTTCCCTGCCCGAAAACGTGCAGGCAACTGAGAAGATTTTTAGGAATGACTGGATATTATAGGCGTTTTTGTAAGAACTTTGCCATTGTTGCCTGTCTTCTTACTAACCTGTTGAGTCCAAAGGTTCCTTTCGTCTGGTGTGATGCAGCTCAAACAGCCCTTGAAGTCTGTAGGCCCTAGTTTTGTCTAGGACATTCAAGCTGGAAACAGACGCAAGCGACGTAGGTGTTGACGCTGTGCTTCTTCAAGAGGATGAGGCCGGAGTCGACCATCCCATCGCCTATTTTTCGAAGAAATTAACCAGTTGAAATATTCAACTAATGAAAAGGAGACCTTAGCGCTGTTGCTTTCACTTCAGCATTTTGATGTATATGTTGGTTCAGAGAAGGACCCTTTCATCTTTTACACTGATCATTGCGTTGCGCTAAAAAGTTGGCTCATCAAGGCATGGCTGGGCATGTGTAAAATGGCAGACTTGACAAGTCAAGCAATTGATTCTGAGCCCAGAAGATGTTCCAACAGTAAAAATTGTTGCAAGATAAACTTATTAGTAGAAATTATTCCTTATCCTGTATGATTTGTCTCTGAACATGGTGCTGGAACTGGAATGTGTCAGCTGTGAACCAACATCCCAGCGGCTGGAAAATGAGTCATGTTGTTGCAGTACCAACTTTGAACACTAGATGTCGCCAGATTACCCGTGTTCAATAAACAACCTTCAATCAGATTTTTTTCAGAATTCTAGTTTTAATAATCCTGAGAAAGACGGAAGAATTCTGAGATTAAAGTCCAACATCGGAGATTAAAGTCCAAAATCTGAGATTAAAGTGAGAATTATTTTCTTTACTTATTTTTTTTCAATGGCCCTAATCCTCTTCCATAGAGTTTAATCTAAGAATTCTCAATATTTTTCTCAGAATTCTGACTTTTTTCAGAATTCTGACTTTAATAATCATGAGAAGAAGGCCAGAATTCTGAGATTAAAGTCAGAATTCTCTTTCTTTACTTATTTTTCAATGGCTGTATCTAGGGGCGCAGATAGGCTTTTCAAACTGGGGGGGACAAAGTTCCAATGTACCCTCCCCCAAACACACACACACACACACACACACACACACACACACACACACACACACACACACACACAATTGCAAGAGCCTTAAATAGAGCTCAGTGAGTTTGTGTAATTTCCTCCAATGGTTTACGTAAAAACAAACACTTTTATATACGTGTTTGAAGCCATTATGCAACAAAGCTCTGCCTGATCAACACTATAAATGATAAATGATTCAATTCAATTCAAAAATACTTTATTAATCCCAGAGGGAAATTGATTCACACTTGTATAGCATCTCTCAGAGTAAGGACTCCAAAGCACTTTACACTACAGTGTATCATTCATCCATTCACACACACATTCACACACTGATGGTGATGAGCTACGATGTAGCCACAGCTGCCCTGGGGCGCACTGACAGAGGCGCCCCACTATTTAATTCAATCATTTGTTATTCTAATTACTAACCAAAACCTCATGCTTTATGCAAAACATGAAATGATTTTCAGCACACCGATCTTTACAGAAAACATAAAAGCCCTAAAAAACTGCACATAAAATATAAGAAACAATATTCACTTATCACTTAGAGCAGTGGTTCCCAAACTTTTCAGCCTGACCAACAGATGTTCCTTCGTATTTTTACGTTATTTATAAATTTTCATTATATTTGGAAAGTTTTTATTTATATATAAATATATAAATCTCTTTTAAAATGTTATATTTTACTTTTTTAAGATTATGTGGCACACTTGACTTCCATACTTAACGCATCGACATCTGCCTCTTTTTACGGCTTTTTTTTACATTGTCGCTACGACTGTCAAGTTAGCGGTGTTTACCATCATTTCTACATCCAACACGTCCCAGAGAAGGTGAAACCAACATCAAACCCAACGTTTGGAGCTTGTAAACTCCACACACCTCTCGTGCAGCACCAGCTGTCTGATGCTGCAGCAGCGTCAACCTTCCCGGCTGGATGAGTGAATTTCTTCATCAGAGTCAATATTCTGCTTCATAATCAGAGTCAGTCATTACCAGACAAAGTGATCAGTCAACAAAGACCAGACCTGCCAGCAATTATATGTTTTATCTAATATTTGCGCTCTTAATGCTGCGCGCATCTCCTCCTCTCCCCGACTGGGAGCCTCTCGGCGGGAGGCGGTTTTCAAACTCTAAAAACTCCCAAACTTTGCTCAGCCTGAAGGTTCCACATCTCCACTATCAATTTGTGTGTTTTTTCTCATTTACAGTGATGGAGGTAATGATGCAGTGTGCATGTCTCTGGTGTTAAACAAGTTTGTTTCTCTTTGCAACAATCTTCAAAAAAGGTAAACTAGTTAAAAGGCAGGGTTCGCAGAATTTCCTGTATTTGACCGTTTATTTTGACGGAGAAACATCAAGGCTGCAGATGCGCGGAGGTAACTAAATCCATTAAGGAAATATTCCCATCAGAACATCTGAGCATTTTACTGGACACTGAACTCAGCGCAGCTCGCTGTCAGTGCACACATCAGGTGGACAGTGAGCTGAAGATGTGGAGAGGGTCTTAGAGCGCGTCGGTCACCGGCAGCAGCAGCAGAACCAGAGCACATGCGGGAAGATTCCTCTCACTGGAGTGTTTTCCAAACCCTGTTTCTCAGAGAGACTTGTCACTTAGAAAATGTTCCCTAATTATGAAACTTTGGCTGAATAGCGCTTGTTCCTGTCTCCAATGTGGCGACACATCCATGAGCCGTCTGAGGCAAAGTCCAGAATTTCATATCCTCTTCAGCTCAGAAAGCGCCTATAGAGCAGGCGGATTGTCATTTCAGGTCTTAATCATTTTTGTTTCGATTTTAAAAGATGACAATCTTTATATTTAGAATTGACATACAGAGAAAAAATGAATGCAGTCAAATAAAATACATTTTAATTAAATATTCATTCATAATTTTACAAGCACAGAGAGCCGCATCGGATGGATGAAAGAGCCGCATGTGGCTCCAGAGCCGCGGGTTGCCGGCCCCTGCCCTAATCCTATTCCATACTACACAGTGTTCAGACAGGATGGACACCAAGTCCCAACATGAGACAGCCAGTTGACAGACCCGTCCCACTGCCCTCCATTTAAAACAAATTTCACACACATGCAATGCAGGCAGAGGAATTAGAAGAGGTCGTAAAACAGCCTGACTGTAGGAAAAGTACCTTCTCCAGCAGAGCCAATTAAACAGATTCTGCAAATGAATTGATTTAATAGTAAGACTGCAGCAGCTGTGTCATGTAAAAACATCTCTGGGTTTTACTTAAAGCTACTTTTGGAGATGTGAAAGCTGAGTTACAGGATGAAAGCTTCCCTTAGTTGTCTAATCTGGGAGAGAGATTATAAAACCTTAAACATTCAAGTTAATCAAGAGACACAAGAAGAGACATTTCAAATGGAGCACAGGGGCACATTAACTGAAAGCTAAACCATTAGTAACTTATGTATCACCTAGCATCAGAAAACACAGGTTGGCAGAGGCAGAAGAATCCTGTTGTCAGACAAAGCTCCACAGAGACTGGTCAGCTTTGTCCCACAGCTCATAGAGAACAGGAGCCAGGACTGCTTTCAGTGACGCGTACATCGACGGGCTCTCCTCTGAGGCTGGGTCTGACTGAGGAGCAGAGGGAATGGTTCAGCGTTCACACACAAACATGTCCGACGGACACACAGCGGTCTCACTTACCCTAGTGCACGCTTTGATTGTTTGGTGAAGAAAGCTAGTCACCACTTCATCAGGCACTGGCAGGAGATGAGCAGCACAGTTGAGGATACACAACAATGTGAGCCTGTGTCCCTGGGGGGGGGGGGGGGGGGGGGGGTACACCACAGACCATGAGGTTATGGTCACCTTTATTTCTACAGCAATGAAGTACCAACCAGCGCTGTACACACAATGGCCACAGGAAACAACAGAGAGTCAACATTCTCCATAATCAGAAAATATAAATTTAAAATAAGAACATAAAACTGAATAAAATTAGGTTTTTCTCCTAAATTTAAAAACAGATGAATATTCCATCAATTGGAATATTCCATACTCAGATTAGATAGTTGCTGTTGTGAAATGTCACTTGAGAAGAACACATTAAAAACCTGACACATCTCTTACAGATGTTACTCCTGACAGACGTTTAAAACAGCTACCTTTTCCAGGGAGTTGAGTGCATTTAGAGGGTGAACGTTCTCCTGGCAGAGAGCCTTGACATCCGCCTGGCTGATGAGGGGATCCCTGAGCTGCTCCAGCCACGACCACATCAGACTGGAGAGGACCAGAGGGTCCTGCTCTGCACACAGCTTCTGCCACGCCCCCTCCCTGGTGTTCAGTTCCATCTGCACAACAAAATCACCAACGTTAGGTCTGAGGTCAAAATTCACCCTGTAGATCCATCCATCCACTTTCTTCTGCTTTATTTTGAAATGCCACATCAGAACTTTATGCACTCTGGTGAGGATGTAGTACTCGTTGTGTACTTTAAGAAAAAAGTGGAATGATGTTGCAGAATCAGTTATTGAGAAAGAAACCATTGAATATGATGAAAATTGTTTTTGAAGCCAAATTTGATTGCACTTTGTTTTGAAATGCCACATCAGATCTATATGAACGTTGGGGAGGATATAGTACTCGATGTGTACTTTAGGACTGATGTGGAATGATGTTGCAGAATCAGACAGTTTCTGAGAAATTAACCATTGAATATAGTCAGAATAGTTTTTAGAGCCAACTTTCATATAACACTATTTTGAAATACCACGTCAGATCTTTATGAACTTTGGGGAGGATATAGTACTTGATCTGTTTTATGTTGCCCACAATTTTACAAAAAAAAAAAACGTTTAAATTGTGTTCATGCTTTTAATTTAAAGTATTTTTAAAATAAATAAAATGAT